TTATCACTTTATATAGTTGTGCAATCTTTTGTTTTTGCATGAAACATTTTGCCTCCTTTATGACCAGGCCATTTTTTGCTATACAGCACTGAGCTACTTTAACTGGTAAACAGGCCGTCATGCAACGTTGTACCCAAATGAAATTTATATCTTTTTTTTCACACAAAGAGATTTCCTTTGATGGTATTTGATCACCACTGTGTTTTTTATTTTTTTATATTTTATTATATAAATGGAAAAAGACCAACATTTTTTTTACTTTCTGCTAAAACATATCCAAAAAAAATAATAAAAAAATACAATTTCTTCATAAATTTAGGCCAAAATGTATTCTGCTACATTTCTTTGGTAAAAAAAAAAAAATCCCAATAAGAGTATATTAATTGGTTGCGTGAAAGTTATAGCATCTAAAATTATGGTATTTTATAATGGAATTTTTAATAATTTTCTAAAATAATTTTATACTAGTAATGGCGGTGATCAGTGGGGCTGTGATAGTACGGCGGGAATATGACACTAACTGACACTGAGTGGGAACTGACTAAACTGCCACCTGACATCTCCAGTGATACTAATACAGTGCTAATAATATGCACTGTCACTGTAATAATGTCATTGGGTAGAAAGGGTTAACATCTGGTGCAATCAAAGGGTTAACTGTGTGCCTAGCAAAGTGTTAATGAGTTTACTGTGTGGTGCTCTTACTAAGGGATGTGTGACAGTTTTCATTCCCTGCTTTGCAGGAAGACAGACAGGCATATCCCTGCTGTCAGTAGAGATCTGTGTTGTTTACCAACACAGACCTCTCTCCTGTCATCCGCTCTGCTGATCAGTTGGTACGGGCCTTGAATCATTGCCCGGGACCCACTGATCGGCATGTCCTGCAGCCAGTGACAGCACAGCGGTATCGGTGCGCATGTGTGCATGTGCCCACTACCTGGAAATAAACAAACCCTTATACATACGTGATTGCGCCCAGTCAGGCCACACTGTAGCAGTAAAACTACAGTGCGCAGTCGACAAGCAAAAATTATTTCAAAATGGTATATCTGATAAAAAAAAAAAAAAAGATCTCTACCACATAAAACCATCACAATTATCAACATTTAGGAACTAATTGTGCAAAATAGTGAAAACCAATGCAATATTATGAAAAATTGATTTTTACATTAGGTATGCCATGAACAAATTGATTATTTTAATATAAAATTTAACTGAGCCATGCAATAAAAGTTTTGGTGGATTGAACGTGCCAATCATACAAACGAGCAAATGACATACAGTGATGAGTGAGCAAATTGACCCCATCATGTACAAAATATGCAAGATTACAAAAAGTAGGTATATTCTCTATGAATGCTAATGTAATTTTTGTAACAGTCAAGAATTTTTTTAGTCTGCACATTATTGTTGAAGCTGCAAATTTTGCTGTCATGTTATAATTGGCTTTGTAGCTGCTGGCTTTTATTTTTTTTGTATAAATGACTGTAGTTTCTCTGAAAGTATTAAAAGTACTGTATATTTTAAAAAACTGGGCACATTCATTAAATATGCTCACAGAGGACATTCATTACATAGACCATCCTTGCGCAAAAGAGTCATTCCAGTCTTTAATTCTGTAAGTTTCAACAGTGCATAACAATTTTAATTGAAAAGTTCATTTTTCCCCAATTAGGTAATTGCCATATGTACAAATCATGGTCACTATTAACTTCAGTTACATCAAGAACCCATAACAATCTAGTAAATGGTATTTATTTAGGTAACTGGACCTTTTTTGCTCTGGTAACTTGTACCGGGTATAACCAGGGTAGCAGAAGTGTAAAAGACAGATCTCAATACAACCAATCCTTCTTGTAACTTAGCTTTTTAACCCAGGACTGAAGATTACAGCAATAGAACATGACCAACAGACACACTTTAGAAGCTTTTCCATTCCAACAACAAGGTGACCAAATGAAGTTTGCCTTCAATAAGCCCTGAAAGTTAACAGTGCCTGGAAAATCCTTTTAGTGAACACCCGTAGGGTATCTGGCACTTAGGCTTGCAGAATCTATTGGATTTCCACTTGATCCCAAAGGTCTAGGCTTTCCAATTCCTAAGCCTGCCTGTCCCTTTTTAAGATGTTCCTGTCCCTAATTACAGTGCCTGCCTCTCCCTACCAAATGGGTTCCTTTTCTTACTTATATTTCTCACTCTGGTAATTACGTCTACATCCCCAAATGGTTGCCAGAATCTTATGAGGGCTCTGCGTCAAAAACTAGTCACAGGATCCACCAAGAGCACGTCTACGTCCTAAAATAGCTGCTGAAATCTCATAAGACAGAAAACTGGACAAGATGGAGCCTGGAGCCCATAGCAGAGGACAAAAGAATCCTATGGTGAGTTTCTTCTAGCACCAGTCAGGGGCGGACTGACCATTTGGAAGCTCGGGCACTGCCCGAGGGCCCGGGGTCAGTAGGGGGACCCTTGAGATGCCCCTGATACCTTTTTCATAGGCTTTTTTGAGTTTGGGCAAGGACACAGGGGCCCCATGATCCCCTATTGCCCAGGGGCCCCATGAGTTGTCAGTCCGCCCCTGGCACCAGTACTAACCAGAATAAGCAGTGACCACCCCATTTACTGCTAAAGATGAGGAGGAAGTGGTTTATCAATCACTGGAGCAGGGGCGGACTGACAACTCATGGGGCCCCCGGGCAATAGGGAATCATGGGGCCCCTGTGTCCTTGCCCAAACTCAAAAAAGCCTATGAAAAAGGTACCAGGTGCAACTCATGGGACCCCCTACTGATCCCGGGATCTCAGGCAGCGCCCGAGTTTCCAAATGGTCAGTCCGCCCCTGCACTGTAGTGCTGCGCATTTCCCAGCCCAATGGAGAAAAACGGTCACCCCTCAGTTCGAACTAAGAACGTCCAAACCCTTCTGCCTACTGATCATTATCAATTTTAACATTCCCAACAGAACTGTATGCAACAAACAACACTGCAAATATACTTGTTAAGAGCAAAACTTACAGATACAATATATAAAGCTGAACTGAAGGAGTCACATGACCTGTGGACAACTCAAGACAAAAACTCTTTAGGCCCTTCATAACTCTACAGTACTGTTCAGTGCTAGCTACAAAAAAACAAACAACGTAATGCTTCTAAAAGAGCGTGTGGTCTCTCTATGTTCTCAGTAATAATCCTATAATCTGGTTGTTGCCATAAATATTGACAGAAGATCATCATTCCTTTTGCCCAGAATAGTATGATCTGTAGATACGGCCCTGGCAAGTTTACTTCCATTACTACTTGATACTAGCCAGGTTTATGAAATCTTTGTCCAACGTTTTGAGGAGGTCCAAGAAAAGTACAAAACACTTCTTGGCTAACACTAACTAAAGGAATGCTGGACACAGAAAAATATCTGGCTGGCCATGCATGTATTGGTGTTCCAAAGGATTACGTGAAGATTTTGCCAAACGAAATAATGAGCTCAATAGTCAATAGAACAAAATAAGTTGCTGATTGCTAATACAAATAGGACACCTTGGTTGAAATGGCTTTCTTTTGCTTAATGTGGCTGTAAACCTCAAACAGGAAATATGAGCAAAACATATTTCTCTATAGTGTGTGCTTGTCTCTATTCAGAGAACTTAGTGTCATTTCTGTGTGCTGCCTCATTCCTCTGCTGTCAGTATGAATTACCTCTGACAAGTTTTCCTGAGAAAAATGGTGAAGGGGGGTGATCTCCAGCAGATAGACAGCCTCAGCTCTGTTCTTGTGTGCTGTGTGGAGGGGGGGGGGGGGGGGGCGGCTGTCTCTTTCCCTGCAATCAGCCCTCAGGGTTCTCCTCAATGAGCTCCCTGCCCACTTTTTTTCTGACAGTTCTGACAAGCTTTATAAATTCTGCACTTTCAATGGCTATAGAGGAGAGAGGGCTACAGATAAACAGGTACAACTTATTTAAGCGTATTTATTTCATCTCTGTCTATCACCAGACACTTCACTGGGTATACTTAAGGGTTTACAACCACTATAAAGCAGAACTAAATGCAAACTTTTTTTTTCATTTTGGTAGAGTAACATCCATAAGAATTGCAGGACACAAGGTTTCCAAGCAGAATATTGCTCAAAGCATCACGCTACCTCCACCTGCCTCTCTTCCTCTCATACTGCATCCTGGTGCCATCTCATCCTCAGGTAAGTGATGCACACGCACCCGGCCATCCACATGATGCAAAAGAAAAGGTGATTTATCAGACCAGGCCACCTTCTTCCATCGTTCCGTGGTCCAGTTCTGATGCTCACATGTCCATTGTAGGCACTTTTGGCTGTGGACACGGGTCAGCCAGGGGTGTATTTACCACAAGGCAAACAAGGCATCTGCCTAGAGCGGCATTTTTCAAGGGGGGCAGCACTGCCCCTTGGAAGAAGGGATGGAAGAAGGGACACACGCAGCATGGGGACCTGGTGGGTTCTGAGAGATGCTGCGGGTTTCATGACGGTGTATGCACAGCCCGACTCTCGTTCCTGGGGATGTCTGGAGCTGTAAAGGTGAGTGTCTTTCTCTCTCTCACCATGGGGGATGGTGTGGGGGCAATGGTAGTGGAAGGCTCAACTAGAGGGCAGGTATGCTCTTGGCCAATGTCAGGCTCTTTCTGTGGGGGGTGGAAGGGGGGGGCAATTCTTGTGTTGCCTAGGGCAGCACAAAACCTAAATACACCACTGGGGTCAGCATGTGCACCCAGACCGGTCTGCAACTATGCAGCCCCATACACAACAAACTGCAGAGTCCATTTTTTCTGGTTTCAATACATTGAACTTCAGGGACAACATGTTTACTTGCTGTCTAATACATCCCACCCAATTTTAGATTACATTGTAACAAGACAATCAATGTTATTCGCTTAACCTGTCAGTGGTCATAAAGTTATGGGTGATTGGTGTATTTTCTTAATTTAGACACAATCAACACATACCCCCCCCCACACACACACACACACTGTTAACTCACCTTCAGTTTCTCATTGGTAAAGGTGATGCACATTGTATAGTTGGACCATGTCCGATTGCTTTCTGGGTGCTGAAACCAATTTCCCTTTTCATCACAATATTTTGAAGCTTTTTCTGAGAAAAAAGAAAAAGAAAAAAAATCCTGGTCTATAGATGAATATTGATATGAATATTGCAACCAAAAACATTTTGCAGCTGTTACTTTCAAGTAAATGTTATATTGCGATTTCAATGTGAACACCGGGAAATACAGGTTTTGGTTTGGGTGATTCTTGATTTTTGTATTTCATTTCTCATTTTTCACATTTTTTGATTCATAGGTATTGTGCAATTTTTTTTTTGATGTAGTGCAGCATTTTTTCTTCACCTTTATTCTTACTATTTGCCCCACTGAGACATGGGTTATGTGCACTAGCGGCTACAGTATTTATATATGTGTGGTTTTTTTGTTTGTTATTCTCCATAGTAAGCGCTGGAGTTATTTAATTTATATTGGTGTTTACCCTGGAAATACATTTTAGTTTTCCTTGAAGTAGATGAAAACCCTAAAAAAAAGACACTTCATTTACTAAAGCACTGTGTAGCATAAATAATTGCCATTTTTAACAATAAAATATTTGTTTTCACCTTTTTTTAAAATGCTTTGTGGCATTTCATTGCTGTTGATCTCCTGCAGCTTCTTTGCAGCCGATTCCTGTCTACATGCACTCCACGTTGTCTGCGTGACATTTCTCAGGGAGAGTTTCCAGATGCTGACCACAATGGACCATATTTGCTTAAAGCAGGGGTCTCCAAACTTTCTAAACAAAGGGCCAGTTTACTGTCCTTCAGACTTTAGGAGGACCGGACCGGACCGGAAATGTCCCGGCATCAGTTGGAGTAAACAATGCTCCATCTTTGGTGTTAGTGAGAGGAATTGTGCCCCATTGATGGTGTCCTTGGGAGAAATTGTGTCCCATCATTTGTGTCATTGGGCTCCATTCTTGGTGTTCATTCTTGGGATGAACTGTGCCCCATCGTTGGTGTCATTGGTGGGAATTGTGCCCCATCGTTGGTATCATTGGGAAGAATTTGTTGGTGTCAGTGGAATAAATAGTGCCCCAAGGGCCGGATAAAGACAAGCAAAGGGCTGCAGTTTGGAGACCAGTTGCTTAAAGTGATATTAAAGTCTTCATTGATTTTTTTTTTTTAACAACAAACACATATTTACCTGCTCTGGGCAGTGGATTTGCACAGAGCAGCTGGATCCTCCTCTTCTCGGGTCCCCCACCAGCACTCTTGACTCCTCCCTCCTGCTGAGTGCCCCATAGCAAGCAGCTTGCTCTGGGGGCACCCAGAGTGTCCACTGACGCACAGACCCGTGGCTTGGCCCTGCCCTTTCCCTCTCCTGATTTGCTCCCTGGCTGTGACTGACAGCAGCGGGAGCCAATGGCTCAGCCAGCCAGGAGTGAAAGTCCCTGGAGAACCGAGGCTCTTGTGGACATTCCTGAATCAAGAGGGGGCTTCAGTAAGTGTTAGGGTGGGCTGGAGGGGCTGCTACACACAGAATGTTTGTTACCTTCATGCATAGAATGCAAAAAGGTAAAAATTCTTGAGCCTTTGCACCCACTTTAAATTGATATTAAAGGCTGATTAAAAAAAACAAACATGTCATACTTACCTGCCTTGTGCAGTGGATTTGCACAGTTCTATCCCAATCTTCCTCTTCTTGGGTCCCCTCGCAGCTTGCTATGGGGGCACCCAAACAGGCTTGCTCCATACCCTCCTCATTGGCTCACTGGCTGGATCGAGATGGAGCTCAAGTAAGGGGGGGGGGCTGCCACACACAGAAGGTATTTTACCTTCATGCATAGAAGGTAAAAAAACCTTGAGCCTTTACAATCACTTTAAGGGGTAATATCACCTTTTCCTGATGAATTAAAATGTGAACTACCTCCAAATATCCTGGTCACCCCTCAGAATTTTTTTTCCTTTTTTTTAGTAAAAAATAAAAGCACTTATTAAATACAATCAAAATAAAGTTATATCAGTCTTCCAAAAATTGGTATAAAACACAAGTGTTGCATAACGGAGTAATTGTCAGTCATACTATGACAGCACTGAAAACTGAAAAATGACCTCGTATTGAATAGGGATTACAGGCTGGTATTCAAGTGGTTAATGCACCTTCACCCAGGACTGTCACTGGCCATAAAACTCTTCACACCAAAGCTCTAGCTGACATCTCTGCAGCTTCACTCCGCTTTGGCTTACTCAGCTAATTGAGTTAAGAAACTTTTACCAATCTGTTTCAGGGCACTGCAAGTGACAGCTTAATACCGGAGAAAATGATGATTTTTAGCTGCCATTTTTCATTGTAATGATTCCTACAAATAACATTTCTCTTCACCTCCAGCTATAATTAAAATGTTTATAGATTCTGCACTTTCTGTACAAGCAGAACTGTCGGTTGGGTATGAACGGCTAATATATTAGAAGGCCGCCAACGGTATTGCGCTTCGCTCGGTCTTATAAAGAAGTTTTATCATTCCGTGTTGGTGCATTCATTTTGGTTTCATTTTGAATGGGAAGGAAGATCAAATCAGGGAATTGCAGCAGAGGAGTCTTTCAGCGGTTGTGCAAAACAAAATTGGAACGGTCTTCGGTAATTGAGATAAACAAAAGTACAGGACATTTCTTTGGGCGTATTGTATTTTTCAAGAAAATAAAGTGCAGTATCGGTTGCGAGGATTTAGTGAGTCTAGTAATATAATGGGAAACTAAATGATGAACTTGCAAAAATCTTCGCCTTTTGTGAATGCCTATTGTCGGCATTGCATTACCATGAAGGCGCCTCATTTATTTAAAATATAAGCAGATGGGTATGAATGAGACAATGAATACAGAAGGTTGTGTCTCCAACACACAGCCTAATAAGCAGTTTATGGTTAATATAAAACAGCACATAATCTTCAAATGTACCGTGCTTCCCTAAATATCATTGCAATCTTTTTGTGTATCCAAAGGCCATATATACAAGTAACGTAAAAGCAGAAACATTGTGCACCAAACCACTTTTAACTAATGTGGAAGATAAAATTGCACTCACAGTGAAGTGACTTGATCAGGAAAAATCACCAAAGCAATCGTTCAGAACTTCAAGTTACACTAGCAGATGCTCTCTCACATGGTGGCCGCCAATATTATTATCATACAAGATTTATATTTATTTGTGCTTTACGAAATGGAGGGAGATAGTACAGTTACAGTATAATTCAATGCAAGAGGGATCATTAAAGCTTACAATCTAAAAGGAAAGGTCAACAATTGCTACAAAAGGCAATGACTGTTAGGATTTAGTTGACAGCAAAAGTACAATTTATTAGTAAAAGGCAGATGAAGAGATGGGTTTTCAGGGATCACCTAAAGAGGGACAAAGTAGGACATATTAGGGCAGACTAGAATAAGAAGTTCCAGAGGAAGGGAAAGGATCTGGAGAAGTCTTGGAGGTAAGCATGGGAGGAGAGGACAAGGGAGCTAGAGAGCAAGAGGTCTTGGAAGGAGTGAAGAAAATGGCCTAGTTGGCATTTTCAGTTGAGGTTGCTAATGTAGCTAGCGGGAAAGTTTTGGATTTTTTTGTAGGTTGTTAACATTTTTTCATTTTATTCATTGGATGAAGTGAAGCCAATAGAGGGATTGGCAGAGAAGGGCAGCGAACACCGAATGGCTGGTAGGGCCAATAGGAGAGGATACAAGCCAACATGGATTCCCTGTAGTGGACACTGAAAGAGCCAAAATGATGGAAATGACAAAGACATTTCAAGCTGGTACAGAAGGAGGACATAAAGGGGTTTATTTACTAAAGCTGGAGAGTCCAAAATCAGACTCCCTTCTGCATAGAAACCAATCAGCTTCTAACCTCAGCTTGTTCAATGAAGCTTTGGCAATGAAACCTGGAAGCTGATTGGTTTCTATGCAGAAGTGAGTCTGATTTTGCACTCTCCAGCTTTAGTAAATAAACCCCAAACTGTCATGTCTGCCCTATTACGGGTGTCAGGCACTATGGCTGGCTTCTGTGTTCTTTACTTATAGCAGCCACCTTTCCCATAAGGCAAGCAGGCCTACTGGTACTCAGATGCCCCCAGGACTTATACACAATGCTATAGTGCCTTGCTACCACGCTGGTTCAGGTACAAACTGAGCACATTAAACAAGTACTTGTGGTTGGCCAGGCAAAGTGATTCAATGAGAATGCAGGTACAAAACAGGAAAGGTTCAGAGTAGTCAGCGTTCAATGCAAGTCAAAAGGTAGGCAAAGTTCAGAGAACAGTCGATATCCAATCTGAGGTCATAAACGGGAATCCAAATAGAAGAGCAGGACAGACAGACAGGGAGCTTGAGCACATAATATACATGCTATCACAAGAAGCATGAGACTGCAGGCTTGGCTGGCTTCAATCTCCACCCAGAGACTGGCTACATCAATTACCTTGCAGGGTGACTGTCAAGGAAATCATAAGTGCAGTCATGCACAAAGATATGCGCATGTGCTCAATATAGCTAGCATTAGCATGAGAGAGCATGGGTAATTAGTTCCCATTGTGACCTGATCCTGTGCTTGTTCCTGTATCTACTCATCTGGCTTGATTTTCTTGTCCCTGATACCTTGTTGCTGATTCCAGCTTGTGACCCGGCTCTGCCTTCTGCATACTGCTCCAGTATCTTCTCTGGTTGCTTGTTACCGACTCTGGCCTGCCACTGACTCAGCCTGTGATCCTGATTCTGCACTTCTGCTGCCCTGGTGCTGCTACCAACTTCTACCTGCCTGACTACCTGAGATCCTGCATCCACCTGCTCGTAAGCTTGCTTGCTGCCTGCTGTTCTGCTCCTGCTGCTGTGTCTCCATATCTGCCAGTCCACCAGCCTGCCTGCTGCTTGGCACCCACTGAAAGTGTCTTCCATCAAGGATCTCTGACCAGGCACCTGTGCCACTCCATACCCTGTCATATCCTGTCACTAACGTCATGAGAAACAGGACAGGAAATGTAAGAGGAAGCCCTACCGTCAGCTCGGCCTCGATCAGGTACGTGACATGGACAGACAGACAGACAGATAGGGAGAATGTATCAAAACCA